TTTATTCCGAATTTCCTATTGGGTTCTTCAATAGTGACGTTGTGCCTTAGGGTATTGATTGGTAGTGGCTGGAGGTGTGAGTTGGTGGTCCTTGGTTAGTGATATTGATCGGTGGCCTTGGCCGTACACAGAAGAACCAGCAAAGTGTTTTATTGTCTGCCGAAGAGCAGCAGCGTAAGGTATTGCAGTCGGAAACCAATGAGACCAATAATGTAGTAAAGCAATTGAAGGGCCGCGAGCGGGAATTGCTGGTGGATATTGAAGAAAACAAGAAGGCTGCCAAAAAGGTGGAAAAGGCGGTACAGGCATTGATCGCCCGTGAGATAGAAGAACAAAGAAAAAGAGCAGAGCTGGAAGCAAAGAAAAGAGCTGCTGAAGAGCTGCGCCGTAAACAGGAAGAGGAACGAAAGATTGCGGCTGCAAAAGCTGCCGCCGCGGCATCGGGTAATAACGGGGTTTCTGTAAACACGGGCTCCGGTACACGTGGTGCATCCGGTACGCCAACCAATACGAATCCTGCCACAGGCAGCACGCCATCCACATCTCCCAATACAAGGCCTGCTACCGGTAGTAATGCGCCCATCGCCAGTAATACAGCACCTGTAAAACCAAAAGCAACACCCAGGGAGATCTTCCTGACGCCGGATGCGCAGGCGCTTTCCAATTCCTTTGAAGCCAACAGGGGCCGGCTGCCCTGGCCGGTAGAGCGTGGTGTGATCACCGGGTACTTTGGTCCGCACAAACACCCCGTTGCACAGGTAATAGAAGATAATGATGGCATTGATATACAGACGAGTACCGGAGCTTCAGCCCGGGCGGTGTTTGAAGGTACGGTAACCAGTGTGTTTGATGTGCCGGGTCGTGGCGTAAACATCCTCATCGTGCATGGGCAATATTTTACGGTATATACCAACCTTGCTTCTGCCAGCGTATCCAAAGGACAGAAGGTGAGCACCAAACAACAGATCGGCACGGTGGGGCTTAATACCGAGGGATTGCCGACTATTGGTTTCCAGATATGGAAGGCGCTGACCAAGGGCAGCTCCAAGCTGAACCCATCGCAGTGGATTGCGAACTAATAACGATGAATGACGACAACGCAGGATTTTTTTAATCCTGCGTCACCTGGGTTGGAATTTTATAATTCCAGTTTCGAGCAGATCATAAGAAAGACGTTTATTCCATGTTCGTTTTAGAAGCCAATACCGCTTTTGACGTGTCCGGCAGGCGGATACTTCAAAAACAATGAGCGCTGGATTTCGTTGTTGGTGAGCCAACACTGTGGTCTGCGCCTCAACACCAATAACGGCGTAGCGTAAAACTATCTATGGCGCAGGTTTCACCAGGTAGATAATCGTGGGGAAGTGATCGCTATAACCGTTGATCCAGGTAGTGCCGTTATAAGACCGATGCGGATAACCTTTAAACGGACCAAACTTTGCTTTCAGAAATTCTCGGTTAAACACTTCTGCTTTGTAAAAGCGCCAGCCGCTTTCATGCTCATTAAGATAGGAGCCTGAGATAATGATCTGGTCAAAAAGATTCCAGGCATCATTGTAGCCCAAGGTGCCGATGCCCTGTTTGTAAAACGTAAGCCAGGGGTTATAAAGATCACTTTGGTTTACTTTATTCCTATTGCCTTTGGCGCCCAATACTTTTACTACACTTTCATTAACCGGGTCATCATTAAGGTCGCCCATAAGGATCACTTTGCTGGCCGGGTTGAGCTGCATCAGGCTATCAATAATACGCTTGCTGACCCGGGCGGCAATAGCGCGCAGCGGCGCAGAAACGGCTTCACCGCCACGGCGTGAGGGCCAGTGATTGACAAATACATGGGTAGTGTCTCCGTTCAATAGCCCGGTCACATAAAGCACATCGCGGGTCTTTCCTCCTTTCTCACCAAACTGGCTGATATCTGTATAAAGAGCTCTGGCACTAAGCATGCTAAAATATTTAGGGTGGTAGATCATGGCCACATCTATGCCCCTGGAGTCCGGACTTTCAAAATGTACGATGCGGTAGTGCCGGTCCCGGATCTCAGGTTGTGCAACGAGGTCTTCAAGCACTTTGGCATTTTCAACCTCGGCATGACCCATGATGGCCGGGCCATCGGGCGTTATATCGGTACCCAGCCGGGCGATAACGGTAGCCAGGTTGTGCAGCTTTTGACGATACACTTCTTCGGTATAATGATAAACACCGCCGGGGGTAAACTCTTCATCAAATTTTTTAGGATCATCGGC